GTGAAGGTGTCTTCATTTCAGCTATTGAAGGACACCTTGCAATGGTTGTTCGAAGGAATCAAACTACATGCAAACTGACCTGTGTTAGTTTTTATGTTCTTTTTCTTTTTCCTTTTTTGTTTGATTAAATGTTACTGTAATTAGTTTTTGATGCTTCATTTTCCCTTCTTGGGAAAAATATGACGTGGACGTATACGAATTCAATTGCTTATTTGTATTATTGGCTTTACGATATGGGATTCAAAATACTACAGCAAGGATTATTAAAGGTGCCAATTTAGAGGTGTCAGATTGTGATTCCTAACTTTGCACTATTGTTAATTTTGAGGGACCTACTTTAGTGTAAACTTACCTAAATATTTTGAACTATATGATCAGGAACCTAATTAATTACCTCACTCAAGAAGAAGAAAAAACTATAATTAAAGAATATGAACACTGCTCCAAATTTATGATAATGATGCTAATCAATAAAATTATACAATACTTGTTTAGTTTTCATTCTATTTTGAAGGCATTGGACAAATTTCTCAGAATGAATGTGACACAGCACACCGCATCCTTTAGAAAAAGCTACGGAATAGTTTGATTTGTGCCCGCTGCGTGGCTGTATGAGAAAGTTAGGGTTGCCAAATGCCCTTCATTTGCTGTGCCTTTTATTTATTTGTCGTTACTAACCATCTATTTTAATTTATTTGGCATATTTTGATTAAGAATAGAATTTACGAAGAAAGAACTTTTTTTAAAAAAAAAATTATAGTTTAAAACATGGCATGAGATTTAGGGGTGAGCATAGTTTGGACAAATTTGAAATTTTTTAATTTTCAAATTATAGATTTAGATTTTGGATTTAATTTTTTAAAATTTGGATTTCAGATTAAATTTCGAATTTGGAACTTCGAATTTTTAGATATCTTAAAATTCAAAATTTACATACTATATATTTAGCTTTAACCATTAAACACCCATTTTTCATATAATTACTAAGTTCAACATTAAATGCCCTAATAAGTTTAATACCCCGCCCATTAGACACTAGCTAATATATCCAAATACTAAGTTCAATATCAAATGCCATACTAAATCGAATATAAGATTTTTTTTTCATTCTCACGCAAGTAAGTTTTATGCATTTACAAATACTGAAAGGCTGAAGTTGTGTTACTATCTAATTTGGCATGGCCTTACTATGTTTGATGTGTTAAAGTTTATTAATGCTTCTGTTGCGTTTCCTTAATAATGGTTTAATTGCTTGCATAAATACTTTTATGGTAGAAATGAAGAACTATTAAAGCAATTTACTTGGATGTGCCTTTTTTTGTAACAAGGACGAAGAAGCTCAACTTATCAACTCAAACCCAAAATTCAAAATATCTAATCTGATTAATCTGTTGCCGAACTAAAAAAAAAATACAGTCCAATCTGATTTTATTTGGATTGAATTTGGATTGTAATTTCTTCAATTCGATAATCGAAAAATCTAAACCGAAATGTTCTTATCCAATCCGAACTGCTGGAATGCCCACCCTTACTGAGATATATGTGGCTATATAAGCATGCAATTAAGGGTAAAATCGAAAGTTTAAAGGTAAATTATTTTTAAATATAAAAATATTTCAAAATAATGTTACATAAAATGAGATGGAGAGAGTACATCACGTTCCACGAATTGGATACTAACAGGTAACCAAAAGTGTTTCCTGATCTCTACCTACTGTATTCATTGTCTTAACGTTTTTGATCAATTTCTCACTCGTAAGCTCGTATTTAAATTCATATAGGAAACAGCTCTAATCTTATTTCAGATGTGAGAAACAGCTAAAACACCAACATAAACGTGCAAACATCTTAGTACAATGTGCTCTCAACTATCCCAATTTTAAATTTAAGAAAATAAAATGAAAAAACTGATAGTACGTACAGGCTTAAGTCCTCCTTCCAAACAAATCAGCCTGTGACTAATACAACTGTAAGAGACTTTGGAGGAAAAAACGTAAACTACACAAGGTTAGATATATGTAAACGATTTCTTTCTTTGTTTATTAAAGATTTCTCTTTTACAAATGGAATGAAATCCATGTTAACATATCGTATAAGAAAATCGGAGTATACAAACATAATTAAAAAGAAAGAAGTAGTAATATAATAGGAAAAGAGTAGTGAGTTACTTTAGGTACATATAAATGGGTACACTAGGTTTAGTCTTGTATCTGTAGAAGGCTGTTTTCTTCTTGTAAGTAGGATTATCAATAGTGATAACAATCTTCCCTTCTTCTCTAATATGAAAGGAATTCCGTACAGTACTCTCCACCATTTTCTTCTCTTCTTGAAGCAACACTCTGTATGAGCAATCATCATCTGGTATGAATTCTTCTCTGTAAGTCACTTCATTTCCCACCACCATCATATCCCAAGTTATGGTCACCTCAACCTATAATCACAAGACATTATGGTCACACTGGCGGATTCAGGATTTCAAGAGGATTGGTGCATTATTGTGAAGAGGTGGATCTAGAATTTATACTTGACGGGTTTAACTTTAGTCTCTTACCATGAACCCACTACATATTTGAAATTATAGGTTCAAAATTTTATTCTTTTTAAAATTTTAGTAAGTTTCACATATATATCTATACTCCGTACCGAAAACAGGACCGTTTGGAGTAGGATTTGAACTGTCAATGTCACTTGTAGAGGTGTACCCAATAATAATTGCATCATAGGAGTCTTTGAGCATGGGTGCGCACACATATATTTAAATAATTTTGAAGAAATATGACATTATTATATATAATTTAGGGAGAGGAGTATGGTTCACGTGAACTCACACCCCTTAACCTAGATACGACTCTGATTATGGAACATAGAAAAAATCAGTCTTAAACTCTTGAGTCAAAGAGGCTTATCCAGGATTTGCACTTGATAATTCAACTTTATTGTTAATTATTAGGAGGTGGTTTGGTTTGAAATATAAGAAAATTTTGTTTCCGAAGAAAATTCCGTATTACTTATATATTGCTTAGTTCCAGTATAAAATCATGCATAACTAATACAATCCGGTATAACTAATAAGTACACCATTTGGTTACTAGTATTGAACTATGCACTAAGTTATGCAAAACCAACAAAATCTTTATAATGATATTTTATACAGGATAAAATATGAAATACGCATACGCATATTAGCAATGCATGCGTGAATAAGAGTAGTACATAACAATCCTTGTATCATTATTTACTACATAAATAATTGAAACAATTCTTGCACTATAATCTAGAATAACTAAATTGTAAACAAAATGACTCTTAACATTTTAGCAGTGAATTTAAAATATAATATTTGTTGAATTTTAATGATTATATATGGATATTATGTGTCCAAAATATTGAGTTCAGTTGAACCTATAGGCTTCATCCGCTTATACCGCTTATACTTGACATGACTTGAATTGAAATGGAATCACACAATGAAAACTACGGATTGGCGCAAATACTACGTACCTCTTTGACCGGTATTTTAATTAGGCCAATTGAGCATGGTTTGAGGCTTATCTCTAAAACTTTGTCATCAGTTGAAAACTCAACATCATTCTCTGTTTTGAGTCCACCATATTGAGCCAATAAGTTTTCCGGACAAATATACCTACACACATGACACAAGAAAATTAATTCAAGACAATAAAAAACACAAATCTTTAGCCAAATTAAAAGAATTTTCGCTAATTACTTGAGAAGGGTCTCTGTAACTTTTGATGGCTTCACAAATATGAACGTGTTCTTGCTTCTTTGTGTGATCATTCTCAAGTTAAGTGCATGCACCGTCGAAAACCAAACAGGAACATTAATGAATATCTGCAATATTATGATCACAAATTTTAGTTTCCATGCAAATTCTCATTTCATTAATTTAATCCTATTCAATAGAACAAATAAATTAACTTACATTCTTGTAGATGATTCCAGGATAATGATCATGAACCAAGCTCATCATTTTCCTATTAATCCAACGAACCTCTTTCCATGAATTTCCTGGTGAATTTCCCAAATCAATAATCTGAAGAATGGAATTAACCCCTCCTTGTTTAAAATCAAGTTGTTGAATTGCCTTCTCCATAATATGTACTCTCCACCTAAGGCATTCTTGGTGGTGATGATGCCTACCCCAAATTTCCTCTTCCAATTCTTTATTCTTAATATTCCTAAACACATTATAACACAAAAGCCTGCCTTCTTTGTCCTTGCCATTTGTGTACCACAAACTCTCAAGCTCAGGACTAAATTTCTCGTCAAGAATATCAGCAACTCTAAAATCCCTCCTCCATCTCAACGTCTTTCGCAACATCTTGAACGCGTCGTAAACGCTGTAATCCTTGGCTCTCAAGAAATTCATCAAAACAATATCTGTGCTCGGGTTCCCTTTACTTGGCAATAAAGGAACATCCCATAAAGAAATGTCCCTCAAATCTTCTGTAATACATAATCTGGAAGAGAGCAATTTGTGTTTATTTTTGCCGTAAATGTAACCACCAAGAATGGCATCTTCCACCCTACATCGTAGTCTAAGCAAAGCATTAATTCTTGAAGATTTCAGGTCAAGAGGACAAGCTAATTGGCCTGCAGGCTGATCAGAGATATGATGTTGTTCATCATCATTTTCACTGCTCATATCATCAATTATATCCACAGGCACAACAGCTTCCTCCCGCATTCTTCAAGATTATTATTCGATTTTTTACATCTCAGGCCATAGCAAATTAAACCGTCTTTTCTCCCTCTGGTTTTGGTTCGAGGTGAACATGTTATTGTTGTTCAAAAATAATGTCAAAAACTATTGCTTCAACCGTTAGTATTATTGGAGCTGAGAGCACCATCCAAATATTAAATGTTTGATGACCATCTACATATTTTCGTTTTTTTTTTTTTTTGGTTTAAAGGTCGGTGATATTCCAAAAGAATCCCGTCCATACCTGCTCATATAATCATAAATCCATAATTAAGGGATTCACGAGAAATATGCAAGCTAAACCAACTAGTCCAAATTTAATTTAACTTTTGAAGAAGAGGCGAGGGAGGGTGATTTTGGATCTTTTTTTTCATTCTTTCTTGAGAGTCTATGTATCAGTATATATGTGCAAGGTAATAAATATGCAAACGTTTTATGTTTTAGAAATAATAATTAAGTATACTATAGAAATTAAACGATAAGAAAGGTTAATGTTAAATAGAACGTAGATACCATTTTACACATTTATGATTTTACAGTACTGGCATTTAAAATTATTACTCATACTCTTAACATATAAAGATGAACAATCAACACCAACATATATATTTTATAAATGTTATGAGTTACAAAATAAAATTTAATAACATAAACAGAATCGTGATAAGTTGTAGTAATTCTTATTAGCTTAAAATTTAGTCACAAAGCACGTTAGTATTCCTTTATTTTATCGACGACAGTCGTTGACTTCTTGGTGCTATAAATAGTTGTGTCCAAAGAAGTCACAACCCATGCACTCCCTTCATTTCAAATTATCGCTCTCATTTCTCTCCCCTAAAGAAAATATTAAATAGAAAAAAAATTAACTATTTTATCCTTATTTATATCTTAATATATAATCTCTCTTCATTTAATACTTACTCATAATTAAGGTATTTGTAGTATTCAAGAACAATTAATATTAAGGGTAGAATTAAAAAATAATAATTAATTTACTCTTAAACTTCTAAAATGACAAATAATTTGAGACAATTATTTTTAAAAGCCACGACAGATAATTTGAGACAGGGAGTACCTACATCATTATTATTCTTGTTCGACGGAAACAACAATTCAATTAAAGTTAGAAGATGTTCTAGCTGTTATCTAAAAGTAAACCTTTGAGACTCTAGACCTACTTAAAAAAGGAAATAGTAGCATCTATCTTTTCCTCGTTTGGATAATATACAAGAAATGGCGTGGTATAGCGACTCTTTTAAATGGTATTTATTTTTTAGCCAGTATTTTTAATATTGAGAAAAATAACCATTACTCTATTAAATACGAAAAGTTATTTTTACCCTTTCTTCATGAGTGATGTGTAAATATTAAGGGCATGGTGTCCTTAATTTCATGAGTGTTATGTAAATATTAAGGACAAACCATGTCTTTAATATTTACGCATCACTCACGGAGTTAAGGACACCATGTCCTTAATATTTACACAATACTTATAAAGTTAAGGACATTATTTCCTTAACATTTACAATGCTGAAGTTAAAGGACACCATGTCCTTAACATTTATACTGCACATATGAAGTTAAGGACATGATGTCCTAAAGTTTAACAACAGAAGTTGCAAATACAAGACATTCTGTCCTTAATATTTACACAACACTCATGAAGTTAAAGACACCATGTCATTAATATTTACACAGCACCCATGTCTAGCACATGGGTATTTTTGTCTCGGCGAGTAAAAATGTATTAAGCACTGACTAGAGAGTAAATACATTTAAAACAGTGGCTAAAAAATAAAGACATCTCTAATTAGAGGCTATTTGTACACTTCCCCCGATAATATATGCAATATTTTGAAGACATTGATTGACGAGACTATTTAGGTAAACATGTACAATGAATCTTTGGGAGAAATTCAAAAATTAGCCACAATTTCAAAAGTCATCAAAATTTAACCACTTTTCATGTAAAGATAAATCTGAACGAAAACACTGTTCAAAATCCGAAAAATACTCCAACATAATATACTGGAATTCCAATATAATTATACTGAAAATATACTGGAGTTCCGGTATACTTTGCTGGAACTCCAGTATAATGGAGTATGGACTGGAGTTCCAGCAAAATATACTGGAACTCCAGTATATTATACTGGAGCCAGCAAAGTATACCTATCCAGCATAATATGCGGAAAGTTCATACACAGGTGCACCAAACTTCAGTATATCATGCTGGACCGGTCTCTGTTGCAACAAAATAATGACTATTTTTCAATGACTTGGTAAACGACAGCTATTTTTGAATGACCAATCCAAAAACTGGCTAGCCCGTGCTATTTTAACTGAATCTTTTCGCAAAATCCGGGGCCTCAATGACCTCCATTTAGTTCCGATAAATACAGTCAAGCATGTGGTATCAAACATTTCTCCATTTTTCATAGTAAGGCATTTATTCATTTTCTAAAAATTTAGTATATTTCTGGATAAATTCTAATCTATTACCACATGCTTCACTCTATTGCCAAAATAAATAACAATAATAAGAGACTTCTGTGACCACAGGTGTCCCCAATTTAACGCACGAGCACTTTCTAAAATCTACATAAGAGATATTATAGAGACCCCACATCTGGTGAAAGCCGAAATAAGCCATACATCACTAACACCAACATCAGTACTTTAACATGACGAACTAATTCATACTAAAGCACTAAACTGAATAAATTTCAAAAAGACCGAGGAAACTAGTAGTGAACCAATTTTCCCAGATGTTCGTACAATAATTCCTAAATGCTTTACAACGACAAATAGCACCTATATACAATCTGGAAAGAACTCATACGGTGAGTAAATCTCAAACAGCAGCTAATTGGCTTTTCATGATTCCCGATACTTGGTCAAATCAAATGTCAATGTCCTCGAGCAACTGGAAGAATAAAAAAGAAAGCATGCCACATCAAAATCCAAGAAGGTTGAAAGGGAGACGGGTAGGAGATAGAGAGATAGTACAAAAGCTCACCCCAAGTCCGAATCCCTGTAAACACCAACCAAAGCTTCGGCTTTGTCATAAAAGCTGTCTTTGAGAGAGATGACGATGCTTTGGAAGCCACATCCTTCCTCAGGATCCTGATTAAGCCTAGCTCCTCCACATGACTTTGATCGGATAAATCCAGCAACTTTAGCAACATTCAAATTATCCAATGCAGCATCAACTTCATCCAATATAAAGAATGGAGAAGGCCTAAAACTGAAATTACACGGTAAAAGCAATGAAAACATGGTCTTGGCAAAGATCCTCAAAAGGAAGGAAATAGAATGAATGCAATAAAATTCACTGAATAGGGACTGCATCTTTTGACAGCATTATACAATGTGCTCGCGATGACATATTTATGCACATAAAATAGAAGTAATACGGTTGGTTATGTGTACATACTCCATTAACAGAAATAGCCAACCCCCCAAACAGCAGAATATTTGATAAGATAGTGCAGCACAAAAGTCAGAAATTTTTATATCAAAATGAATCGCTAATTAGGCACAAAGTTACCTGTGGATTGCGAAAAGCAAGGCAAGTGCTGCAACAGTTTTCTCTCCGCCTGAGAGCTGCTCCATATCCCGAAAACGCTTCGTTGGGGGCATAGCAGTAAACTTAATGCCATGTAAAAATGGTTCATCTTCATTATCCAAGTTGAGATAGGCTGTCCCACCAAGGGGATGAGTGTTGCTCTTTGTCAGTTGCTTGTATATCTTGTCAATATTGCCAGATATATGATTGAAAGCTTTCATAAACAATTCATACCTGCAGGTAGAATATGCAGACTTCAGAGTTCAGATCAAGAAATTATAACGCTGTACAAAGAAGGCTAACAGATACTTCTGCTAATTATCCTAGCAGGGTGAACATATAATAGAATTATCCGATCCTACATCTCATTAAAGCAATGCATAAGCCAAGAGCTGAATAAGGGGAAAACGAAAAGGGAACCTCGAACAGCAGCACAATATATAATGTGCCTATCATAATGATCAAGAATATAACCAGAAAGGTGCAATCAAGAACATGTTTCAAGAGTTTCAAAATGTTTATAAACAATAAAGGGGTCATCATATCCTTCTTTGAGGTTTTCTTTACTGCCTCACGCAGGCCTGTTTCCACAGTTCCCTTAAATGACCATTCAAAGTAGCTGCGTTCATGCCATTATTGAGCTAATAAATAGAGATCTGTTGGCTGGACAAAGGTTGCAATAAAACAGAAATCCTGAAACATCTCGTTAACACTTTTCTTCATTATAAAGCTTGCATTCAATCAAAGGCGAACAACGATAAATAAGCCTCCACAGATTAAAAACAACTTTCAAGGGTACCGTTTTCCAGTTCTAACATAATGCTATCCTGTCATCATCCGACCAAGTTGACCACTTAGAAATTGATTATTACCTGCTTCACCTAAAAGTATCATGATAATAGTTAGATACCTGGCCTCTTTCACTCTATTATACTCATCAGCTACTTTCTTTTCTTCATTTTTGGCCACTTCAAACTCCTTCGTGACATCTTCTTCCTTCTTCAATAGATCTTTATATTGATCAAGGGCCTTCAGATTTGGAGCTGTCCTTTCAATCTCTGACGTCAACGCAGCCATTTTTTGTGTAAATTCCACCTCAAGCTTCTCCCGTTCAGCTGGTTTCCTTTTCTGCTGATAAGGTTTACTCAGATTACTGAAATCAAAAACGGGGCCCGGCATCGATTCTCCAGTATCCATTGGATCAGAGATAGTGGGAAGGGGTATCTGCTCCAATTCACACGTGTCCAGTATCTCTTGTTTTCTTGAATTCAGCTGCTCAATCTGTGCCTCCTGCAAAATAAGACGGAAAGCAAATCATATCCTCCAATTCTTTACTAATACTATCTCTATTCAACTTCTATAAACTCAAGTTGTGAATGGCGGCTCAGAATTTCCCCACGCTCTTTTGATAAAGAACTATTTGAAAAAATCATCATTAAGCAACAAACCTTTGACCTAATTTGACGGTTATGTTTGCTGATGCTTGTTGTCTCAGCAGAAATCTTTTTCTGCCAATCCTGCAGATGCTTTTCGCACACTTCAGCTTTAGACCTCAAATCTGTAGAAAAGAAGGGAAGATTTCTTTTCTTTTTCAATTGATTCCATAGTCCAAGAAGACAAAACAAGTGGAGTTGAATGATATTACTAGAAAAAACACTAAACATAACAAAATACGGCAAAGAAGTGAAGGGAAAGAGAAGATAAATGAAGAGGGAACCTCTCTGCCAGGAAATGCAC